ACATATTTAAGAGAACAAGAAAATGGCTTAATCACATGTGATTTTACATTAACATCACGTACAATATCACAAATGATTCCTGCGACTTTGCTTCATGACCTAAAGTCACGGCTAAAGTCGTCCACACACTTATTTTTTGACCGTTGATGTAAAATCACATGTGAATTTACACGTGAGTTGGTTGTTCTCGTATTATCTTAAATGGTTAGCGTTCTTGTTTGATCCTCCTTTTACACACACACACACACACACACATATATATATATATATATATGATGGTAATTAAATGAAAACCGTAAAAAGATCGAGGACAGGACTAATCTCAATTAATCAAAAGTCATTAGAAATGATTATACTTTTTGTTATATTAATGAAATTTTTGGAAGCTTGAGGACAAATTTGTAATTCGAGATCCCAAAAATGCCTCTTTCCATCCTCGATTAGGGTTCCATCAAATCTCTAGCGTACCAGGTGTGTCGTTACTCCATCCTCAAACAACCTTCAATCCCCGTCGAAGTAATCCTGATCAAACAATCCGAGAAGAAATATCATTGTTCACACGGTTTTTGACGAATTACGAAGGTTGGGGCGGTGTTCGTCGACTGCGATTTCCTCTATCTCGGCGACATCAAGGAGCTGGTGGATCCTGATGGATGAAAAGTATGCACTAATGTGCGTTCAACACAATTTTACCCCAAAAGAGGCTACGAAAATGGACGTGTGGTTCAGACGGCATACCCATGAAGAACTGGTCGTGGATGGTGCGGCCACCAGAAAACCAAGATTCTAAGGGGAAGGTTGTGAATAAAGAATGAAGTGAGTATGTTCATAGGTTTCAATGGCTGAAAGATGATGAAATTGGGTTTTGTTTTGTGGGTCATATATAACCAGGTTGTTAATGCATGGTGATTCAAATACTCACTCAAAAAGCAATTCATTATACGTCATGGAGGGCCATGGTTGGAAAGATTGTGAATTTGCGGTTGAAGGAATTGGAAGAGTATGAAAAGGTGAGAGGGAAAGAGAAGAAGATGGAAATTAATTAAGGTTAGTTTGTATTGTATGTTAGATGTTGTTCACAGGTGTCTCTATATATGATTGTTTTTGTTGAATGATATTTTTAGATGAATTTACTTTCACTTATCTAAAAAATAAGATTTCATGTCATCAAAAAATGACATAATAAGCAACAATCTTACTCACCATCCTCATGATCACTTAATTAGAGGCTAAAATTGTGTCATGTTGAATTTAGAGCACAATATAATATAAATAAATCTAGTAGCTGATGCGTGTTCGTTCTCCTTGAGATGAAGCAGGATATATATATAAACAAATGATGGGGGTTAAGTATGTAATTAATTTACCCATAGTTTAATTTGAAGTTAAACCATTCATATTTTATAGCAGCAAGCTAGGCAATATATATATATATATATATATATATATTAAAGAAATTAAGCATTAAATAATTCGCTAGGTAGAATTTAGTTTGGAAAATAGTATCGGATTTGGAAGTGAAGAAATGTATTTAATTTAATTATGAGAAAATGGATATATATATATATATATATATATTATATATATATTATAGATGAGGGTTGGGTTGGGTTGGCTTGACTAAGAGATAGTTGATGGCTTGACTATAATCTAAAGAATGCTCAGGTTGGCTACCAACTTTTTCCTTGTTTTAATTACTTATATACCCCTCCCTCTTTTAATTTCCTACATTATTTAATTAATTAATTATTTTTCAAAATAGATGGATGCATGGATCACCTTAATTTCATTTGTAATAATATCTATGATCTATCCTTCCTTCATTCTAAAGGTTGTTTTCAATTAAATTTCCCTTCAAATCATATATATATATATATATATATATATATATATTAGAAGGGTACTCGCGCAATGCAACGAGATATATCTTAATTTTAATGTTTCATTTTATATTTTGTGTCTATCAATATTATGATGCTATTAGAAGCGTACTCGCGCAATGCAGCGAGATACATCGTGTTTTTAATATTTCATTTTATTCTTTATCTCAGTCGATGTTATAATATGGCTTTATGTGATTTTGAGAAAACGATGATGTTTTTATTTTTGAATAAAATAT